ATAGGAAGAAGTGGGGTGGTGGCATCATGGGCTCCAAATCCCAGGCCAAGACCAAAGCCAGAGAAAAACTTCTTGCAAAGGAAGCAGCTCAGAGAATGACCTAAAAACCACTTGCAATTTTCATTTGTAATTGTTAAGGACTTCTATGTTGGTACCCCATTTCATTTTGTTGTTTGAGGTTTTTCAGGTAAGGATATGAATTTGGAGGGTCTTGTTTCTTAAGAGGCAAGCTGCCTTCTTTATCACAAATTAAGTTACAGGAGGTGCTGGTCCATCAGCTAATCTTGGAACTAAGTTGTGTTTGCTATGGCCTATTATATTACATTATGATTTTTAATTTTTTTATTACTATTCATTTTCTATTTCTTTTATACTAAACTGGGTGTTAGCTTTGAAATCGGAAAGAGAACATAATCCCACCCTTTAAAAAAAAAAGTTGTCCCATTTAATTGCTTATATGAAGTGTTTGGGCTTGATGAGGTTAGAATAATGTACAGAATTCAATGGGAAAGTGATATGGTATGCAATTTTATTTTGTAATAATTATATGGGCTCCAATAATTATAGATATATTGGTGAGATGATTAAAAGAAATTCTACATTTATTGTATGAGAAAAAGGAAACTCAAAATGTTTTCATATATATTTAATGGTTGTAATTAGATATTCAACATAAATTCTTTTTTATTTTTCATTCTTTTTATTGTATAATTTAAAAGAAAATAAAATAATTAAGAAAGATTAGTAAAAATATTATATATTATATATGGATGGTCGATAAAAAAGGTACATATATGTATAATATATGGATGACCGTTATTCCCGTAATAAGGGAAGTTTCTTATGTTTGGATTTACTAAAAAAAGAGTGAGTATATTTTATTTTTTTTTGTATAAGAAAAATAAAAATCACAATTGTTTCCCATTCCCCTTCATCATCTCCCCTCCCTCTCTCCCTCTGCACATCCTCACAAACCCCTTTCCATTCTCACAAACCCCAGAAATCTTCTTCCGCATGCATAATCCTCGTTATTGCCAAACCTCCTCTTCCTCCTGAGGAAATTAAGTCCGATGGGATCATGTTCATAGGGATAAATCCTTAATCCCAGACCATCCTGTTGAAAAGCTATTTCATGGGAGAATCCAGCAATCATTGTCTAAAACTGAGTTTCTCCATAATATATCTAAAAATAATTCAACACAACGTCTGGCACTATATGACCTAGTGATCATTTCATTTGTGAAAACGTGCTTAGATGTAAAAGTCTTGGGATCTATTCTCAAGCACTAATCCCCTTATCCCCAACAATTCCTCTAAGGCAATATATATATATATATATATATATTCAACACAAAATCAAATCCTGAAAATTTAGGAAACTCCAGTCTCAATATCAACTTGTTCATCGTACCACATACATAGGAGGTGCGCAGTGCAGGTCAATGTGTATAAACAACTCTTGCCATGAGAAGAAGTTGTTGGTAGAAGGAGAACAAAATGTGGAAAACCTGTATTTATTAACAATCTTTTTGTCAGAGAAGAAACCAACCTTTTATGAGCGTGTTTAGACCTTATCCATGCAAAGCCTTCCAAACATATCAATGTTCATGCCATCTAGACATTTTTCTCCCATATCTGGCTTGAAGTCACAACTAGAATTGGTTCTGATCTTGAAACAAGTAATACTGCAAGTTCAGTAAATATATAAATATACATGGCCCGCAACATCTGAAGGAGACCTTCTTCATGTGTTTGATGGCAAACGGAACGCAGCTGGCATCTGCTAATTAAGATTTCGGCAGGACAACATGGGAGTCTGAATTTACTATGTATATGTATATCAGCATTTATGGTAATTAAGAAACACCTCTTTCAATCATTGAATTTGCTCTGAGTGTGTATTAGAGAGGGCATGAAAGCATACATGTGAGTTTAACTGACAGACATACCATATCAAAATAAGCCAGGATACACTGAATTCATAATGCAAAGTGGTTGATACAACTAAACAAAGCCCACGCATCAATTTTGAGCTCATTCTGTCCTCACAGGGATAATTCATAACATTACTACATCATAAACGACAAGGATTACAGAACAGCAAAGAGAGATATGTACAAGCAACCTTGGCAACAGTCAACCATAGAGGCTGTGCTAAGAGTGAGTGAATGGGGATGCAGGGCAAATACAAAACTAAAAGAGACCATACAGAGAAGAACAAATAAAGGCTTTATTATGTACACAAATTGTTGAGAACACAGTTAACACTTAATAACATGGTATAGTGCCTCAACTCCATACTAAAAGGAAAGGAGTGAAGCCCATATATTGATAAAATATGGTACTAAAAACAGAAATCTATAGACTGTTGCAAGTATATTTTTATGCAGGTACATTTCATGTTTGCAGTGTCCACTTCAGAACTGTCATCTAAGTTGTGTACATGGGCAATATGTCTTTGGAGACTTGGGATACTTTATGTACCATCTTCCTAATTGTTAAAATATGGGACTAAAAACAGAAATTTTAAGATAAAGGTGGAAATGTTCCTGAAGCATCAGAAACCAGGTTCTTTAACAGGTTTAGCTTAGAGTGTTCTAAATGCCTTCATACTCCTTTAAAACATGCTAACTTAACAACAACTGCCATGAAAGAATAATAACCAACTGGGAAGTTCTTACCTTATAGATAATGGTTCCTCTTCATGTTCAAATGGCACTAGAAATTGATTTTTACTGACACAACCATATTTGACCAAGGTCCTTTATTAAGGGTGTAAGAATGAAAACAAAAATAACTGATATACAGACACAGCTAGGATTTCATCTTCATAAGAGAATTAGTCATCTCTGTGAAGAATGAAGCTTTCAAATGAGTTAGAAATGTTTTTTTCAAAACAATATCAGATATGGAATTCGATTCTGGGGGGCCACTTTGAAGTGGTTGTAGAACCAGGTTGTTTATAGAAATGCTGTACTAGGAAACATCTAGCAATTAAACGCCAGAATCCAGATGTAATCATTGATTGCTCTCTTCTGTTGCATTTGATACAACAAATTAAAAAAGGATTCTACCAAATCCAGTAAGAAACTGGAGAAATATGATTGTAAAACTCTATGTTTAATTTCACAAACAAACTGATTGGCACTCCCTCCAGACCTAGAGAAGAACAAAAAAATTAATATAATAAACACACCTCTGAATTATATAAGAAGTTAACCCCAAACTCAAGATACTTGATTGTGCACAGCTCCACCTGCACATTCCCAAAAAGAAAAAAAAAAAAGAAAAAAAAAAAGGCAGCACCACACAAAATCAATACCCTTATTACCCAAATTAGTATCAGCAAAATTACCAACACCTGATGCAGCACCTCTGTAATGGAGGCTTGGGTGAGGCAGTGGAGAAAAATGGAGCAAAACCAAATCCATAAAAAACGTATAGAATTCTCAGGCCGGTATGAACTTTCTCAATTTTTTGCTTGTTTTCCCAATCAAACCATTACAAGGAAAACCCGTCCTCTCCAAGAATGCTACTTTTTTTCCAATCTCGCTCCAAATTTCACTACTTCACAGTGTTTACTGGCTAGAACCTTGAGAATCATCGTCAGCAGGAGGTTGCTGGTGGGGCTGGTGTTCGTGCATTCTAGCCTGTCCCATCTGCTGATAAATTTGGCTCATCGCTTGGGGATTCAAAACCCCAACATGACCATCTTGAGACAACCCCAGTTCCAAACCAGGTAGCTGCTGATTACCGCCACCCAAGATTGAAGTAAAACCAATAGGACCCATGTTAGTGGCAGGCAAGTCAAAGCCGGGAAACCCTATCTTTTGCAGGTAATTAGAACTTTCACTGCCCAAATTCGCGGTGGGTGGACCAGATGATGAGGGGAAGCCAAACCCACTGACTGGGGGCCATAGACCCGTGGCCACATGATGGGGTCTTCCCAAATTGCCACCTACCATTGCCCAACCGGTCCTACTGCTAGCCGATCCAATACTGGACCCCCCTAAATCATCCATCTTTTGGTGCAATCCTGCTGATAGAGAGGCCCCTTGCTGTGAAACTGAGCCTCCGGCTGCAGCCAAAGCAGATGCTGGCATGGTTCCAGACCCGGTAGCTGCAAATATAGCGGGTTCAGCTTGCTGTAACAACCACTGTATCGTTTCTCCATCAGATTTGTGACCCAATTCTCTAGTCAACTGAAAGATTCTTGCTGCACAGAGAGCAGGCATCCTAATCCTCCTGCCTCTGCCTTCAACTTTTGTGTGCCTGTCTTTGTTAGAGCTCCTTTTGGTTGCCAAGTGTTGTTTCTTGCCCCCTTCTTTGTCAGCAATTACAATCTGGAAATCCTTGATTTCAGCTGGTTTGTTGTCACCCATGTTGTGTGATTGTTGGGGTTCTGGTGGTAGGCTCAAGAAGTTGGATACCTCTTGTGGGGGCTGCTTGGAGGTCTTGGGATCCATGAACACAAAATAAACAGAAA